CTCCTCCTCCGCCTCCTCCGCCTCCGCCTCCTCCTCCTCCTCCTCCGTTTCCTCCTCCTCCTCCTCCTCCTCCTCCTCCTCCTCCTCCTCCTCTTTCTCCTCCTTTTCCTCCTCCTCCTCCTCCTCCGCCCCCGCCTCCTCCTCCTCCTCCTCCTCCTCCTCCTCCTCTCCTCTTCCTCCTCCTCCTTCTCCCTCTCCTCCCCCGTCCTCCTCCTCCTCCTCCTCCTCCTCCTCCTCCTCCTCCTCCTCCTCCCCGCCTCCTCCGCCTCCCCGCCTCCCCCGCCTCCCCCGCCTCCCACGCCTCCCGCCTCCCCGCCTCCTCCGCCTCCCCCGCCTCCCCCGCCTCCCCCGCCATCCCCGCCATCCCCGCCTCCCTTGCCTCCTCCTCCTCTTCCTCTTTCTCCGCCTTCCCCGCCTCCCGCCCCCCCGCCATCCCCTGCCTCCCCTGCCTCCTCCTCCTCCTCCTCCTCCTCCTCCTCCTCCTCTTTCTCCGCCTCCCTCGCCTTCCCCGCCCGCAGACCCGATCCCCTCCTGAGCCCAAAGCGGTCCTTCTTCCAGCGATTTGATTGCATTGCAAGAAGTTGGGCACGCTGATGCGTTCCCCACGGCGGCGCGGCATTGATACCCGTCGGTCGTTGAACATCGGTATTTTTGGACTCCCAAAGTGCCCGATCTGCTTTGGCCGCCTTCCTGCTTCAAGAGTCGAGCGGTTCTCCCTCTTCCCTCATCTCATTGGGGGGCGGGCGGAAGCCCAATCCACTTCCAACGCCTTCCCTTCATGGTTCTGCCTACTTCTTCCGACCGATCAGTGCACTCTCCCCGGGAGGTGCGCCGCACCGCCGTGAAGAGCCGCCCCGGCGCCCCTCCGCCGTCGCTGGCCGCCTCGCCGACGGGCGAAGAGGCTCCATGTGGGTTGCAGACAGCGGCTTTTCCCGCCAGCCTTACGTTGGGCGTGTCCCTCTCCAGGAGGAATCTTCAAAAACAGTTCGAAGAATAGTCTGGGTACGATGTTTTGATGATTTTTGAATTTGCGTGGGCTATTTTTTCATTTGTCCTTCAAGATCCACCTGCAGGATGACATGCCCGATCCAACGCCAGCGCGCAGCACGGGGCAACGTCAAGTGCTCGGCGGCTTTCTTCAGCCTCGGGGTGCCTTCTGCGGCTGCGCCCCGCCGAGGGCGTTCGGTGGTGCCCAGATCGTCCCGAACGGCCGCTGGAGGCCCGAGTGATGGCCCCAAGGGCATCGGGGACGGGGGATGCGGGCTCGGGGGAGAACGCACCCATCCCGAAGCGCCCACTCGTCGGCGACAGGGGTCCGACAGCCTTCCCCACCCAGGAGACTGCGGATCTGCTGTCGGGGGGCCCACCGCCGACCTGTCGGCGATGCCTCCATCTGAGCCGGTGCCGTGGTCGTTGCCCCTCGTTCCCGCCAGCTCACAGCAAGAGGAAGCGGGGCCATGGCAGGATCCCTGGTAGAGACGCGGCACCGCCTTGGTGGGACCCTGGAAGGATCCGCGGTGGGGGTTCAGGCAGGGCCCTGGTTCCTGGCAGGGTCTTGTCAGGATCCCTGGCAGGGTCTTGGTTGGGTCCTGGTGGGCTCACGTTCGGGTACTCGGGTGAGCAAGGAAGTGCGATGGGGCGACAGTCCAGGTGGGAGGAGGGACGGGAGGGACGCAGGGTGAGGAAGGTTGTGGAGCAGGCAGCATGACCCGGAAACCAGCAGGGCTCAGGCTGCTGCTGTTGTTCGGCTTTGGATTCACATGTCGCGTTGGGCTGGAAGGAGGCGAGAGGACTCGCTCTCTTCCAGTTTCCTTGGTCTCGCATCCTCGCTGGGGCTGGGCGCCCTGAAAACCTGGCGTGGCTCGACCCCGACTGGCCCCGCAGTGGGGCTCCCAGTCCAAGAGCTCCGCCGTATACTTTCGACTGCAACGGCTGCTCCGACGGCATACGACGTTACATACCTCATGGGGCCACCCTTCGGGTGAGATGGAGGTCGGGTGGGGAGAAACTGGCATTTCGATTGAGATTTGTTTTGCACTCTGGTCTGCATGCGATTGCAGTTGGATGTGCACTCAAACTTGCGTGTCGCCTTGCACTTAGATTATGTTCGCGTCAACTTGGCAATGTAGTTGTCTGCCTGCGTATCGAACCATGTACCCGCCCTGCTGATTGGCGAACTATGTAGCTAACTTTGTGAGGAACGATCAACGGAGAGGAAGCATGTTGCCAAAGAATTTCCAGATGTCTGAAGCATGTATTAAGCGTGCTTAAGACATGTAAGCGCATGCTTAAAACGGGTTTAGAGCATATTTCCTACATGTCAAACACATGCTACACTCAATGATGGGTCTGTTAGGGTGTCCACCGCCGTGGCAGCCACAGAGCTAACTGTGCGACGATCGCCCCCCCCCCCCCCGAGAAGGTGGTGCTCTGCGCGGCGGAGCGGGCCCCTGGCGCCGCCGCGGCCCCTGCGGCGCCACGCAGCGCGCCCGCGGGCGCGGCCCCTGCCGCCGTGCTGGGCGGCCGGGGCTCACGGAATCGGGAGCGCCCGAGCGAGCTGGGCGGTACCAAGAGCGGTCGGGCAGTGCCCCAAGGGGGGTGTCGCCGGCAGGAGGCGGGAGAGAGGGAGGACAAGGGTCAACGGAGGAAGAGGTGCCGATGCCCCGCTATGGTCGCCTCGTTCTCGCGATTCTGCGCCTCCTGGGGCGCCCTCGTCGTCACCGCTGGGTTTGATTCAAGATTTTGTGCGGAACGCGCCCCAGGAGAGGTCCTGGAAGTAGCAGTATCGGCATTTGTTTGTATCCCCAGATGGGGACGAGAAGGGGGATAATAAGGAGGGGGAGGAGGAGGAGGAGGAGGAGGAGGAGGAGGAGGAGGAGGAGGAAGGAAGGAAGCAAAAGGCGGAGCGGCCCCGGCCTAGCAGTAGTGGCTCGCAGCAGAAATCTCTGCAGCGGTGCAGTTGGCCCCATCGTTTGAGTATTTTTGGGCATGTTGTGAATATTTGTTTGACTTTTTTTTAAAATTTTTGGTCCAAAATCCGCCTGTAGGAGGACACGCCCGACCTAACGCATGGACTCTCCCCGGCCCTTCGCCGAAGGGGCTTCGACTGGGCCCGATCCCCTTCATCAGCACAGCTTTTCGGAGCACCCCACGGACGTCTCAGATCGGCGCTGGCCCCCCCTTTTGCGGCGCCTCCCGCGCCGCTCCCGGCGCTCCGCGCGCCAGGCAGCGGGGGCCCAGCGCCGATCCAGGAAGTCCGCGCGGAGCTCCGAAAGTCTATGCTGCACGCAGTCGTTTCTTCGATGGGGGGGAGGGAGGGAGGGAGGGAAGCACCGCAGGACCGAGGATCGAAGAGGCGGAAAAGGATGAGGAGGAGGAGGAGGAGGAGAGGAGGAGGAGGAGGAGGAGGAGGAGGGGGGGGGGAGGGGAGGGGGAGGGGAGGGGGGAGGAGGAGGAGGAGGGAGGGAGGAGGAGGAGGAGGAGGAGGAGGAGGAGGAGGAGGGGGAGGAGGATGAGGAGGAGGAATAGGAGGAGGCGGAGGAGGAGGAGGCGGAGGAGGAGGAGGGGGCGAAGGAGGGGGGAGGGGGAGACTCCTTCGAGCATCTTCGAGCGGAATGCCGACGCGGGCATGCTGGCCCGAAGCACCGACCCTGGAAAGCCGCGCGGGCCTCCGAGGGCCTCTGGCCACGGCCTTATTTTGTTCCCTTGTAGTTGAAGCCCCTGCCAGGCGAAAGCGCTGCTTGCCTCCAGGGTGTCCTGGGCTGCTTGGGGCTTCGATGGTCTTGCCGCGGAAAGCGCGACGTCCCCACGCCAGAAATCAAGGGACGTCCTGGGGTCTCAGGGTTGGGCTTCCTGTCGTCAAAGGCTTAGCGATCTCTGCCGTCCTTCGACTCGCGCTGGAGCGGCCGCGAATTGCTCCAACTTTCCCAGATCTTTGGATTTTCCTGAATGTCCCTGGACGTATTTCGATATACCTGGATGTACCTCGATTGATCTGCATGTACCTGGATTTACCTGGCTCGATCCCCATACGTCGATTGGCGAAAAGTCGACAAGCCCTCAGGGATATTGTGGAAGATTCTTGTGGTCGAGCTCCTGCTACAGGAACGAACCATCACCGCGAGAGCCTGCCAGCCAAGGCCTTGCCCCTGGGGTCGTCGGAGGGAGCCTTTTCTTCGGCGAAAGCTTCATGATAACACTCGAGGAGGGAGGAAGGAGGAGGGGGGAGGGAGGAGGAGGAGGAGGAGGAGGAGGAGGAGGAGGAGGAGGAGGAGGAGGAGGAGAGGGAGGGAGGAGAGGAGGAGGAGGGGCGGAGGAGCATGAGGCGGCGGAGAGAGGAGGAGGAGGAGGAGGAGGGAGAAGGAGGAGGATGAGGAGGAGAAGGATGAGGAAGAGGAGGAGTTGCAGGGAGGAGGAGGAGGAGGAGGAGGAGGAAGAGGAGGAGGAAGAGGAGGAAGAGGAGGGCAGGAGGAGGAGGAGGAGGAGGAGGAGGAGGAGGAGGAGCAGGGAGGAGGAGGAAGAGGAGGAGAAGCAGGGAGGAGGAGGAGGAGGATCACTGACCAAACTGCCAGGACTGCGAGCGGGCCACCATTGGGCAGTCCCTCGGGGCCGTTGGCCGCATTTGGGATTGCCAATGGGGGAGCCCATTGCTTGGGGAGACCCCAACTCGCAGCCTGTTTGCGGGGGATGCTAACGAGGACCCGCCCTGGTTAGCAGCCCCACATCGAACGCCGGCTCGGGCTCCCGGCCCTGGGGCGGGGGAGGAGGAGGTAAGAGGAAAATCGCAAGGGGGGGTGAGCAGTGGGAGCCAGCGGGATGAAGGTGAAGGGGGAAGGGGGGACAGAGGCAAGCGGAGAGGGAGAGCGGGGCGGTCGGCGGGCCTGGAGGAGGGGGGGTGGACCAGGGAGGGGCGGGGGATGGCGAGGGCGGCCTCTGGCGTGGGCCACGAGAGCACTGTCTTTTTTTTCTCCCTCGCACCCCAAGGGGAACAGGAAGCCCGCTTACGCTTCTGACCGCGCCGCGGCTTGCCTACGGAATCCGCCAGTGACGCCGACGCCGCCGTGAGCTGGGGCGCTTCCTCCAAGCGCCAATTGGATAACGCACGCACGGCAATGAAGTTCCTTCCGATGTGGATTGCTTTGCAATGCAGAGACCTCAGGGCGGCGGCCACGTCGAAATCGGTGAGGAGAGCGTCCAGGGCGCGCCTGGTAGTGCCAGCTGGCGCGAGTTTGCGCCGGCGCCGCCATGCATTCCGGAGCGCGGCCACCATTTCCTCATATGGATCGCCCCACACCTTGCTGCCGAGCCGAGTATTGTTACCAAGCCCGCGGGTGCTCAAGTCCATGGAGCCGGCCAAACCCAAGACTTTGAGGCCCCCCAACACATGTGGAAGCATAAGGATCCATCCATGGCGGAAAATGGTGCCTTGGAGCAATTCCCGGATGTCCTCTTCGCCCAAGAGCTCGCCTCGTTCGTCTCCCAGCCAGTCGAACGCCGGGGCAAAGAAGAAGGCACTCAGCGCCCCTAGTGCCTTCTCGTGGGTGTATTCCTGCAAATCGATGTTCAGGCGCTGCTGAACGCCATTCCGGAACACCGAGGCACCGAGGCCTCAACGTAACGCTTGTTGGAAGCGTTTCTGGCAAGGTCGGGCCGGCGGTACGTCCCGGCTGCCGCGAGGAGCGCGGCGCAGAAGCCGACAGCATCATCACCGAAACTCCGGCAGCGGCGGAGACTCTGGAGCATGTGCAACGCCAAAGCTTTCGATCGGAGAAAGAGCAGCCACACCATCAATCCACGGAGAGCACGCTGAGCGGAGGGTGGCCTAAAGCAAAGCAGCATCCGGATGCTTTTGCATCGAAGCGTGAGGACGTCGCTGCTCTTAAGCACTGCGTGGACGAGGGAACTGCGGGCGGCGGCCCGAAGATTGTAACACTTGCCCCCTAGTTCGGCAAACGGGTTTCGCAAAGCGGACAGAACTGGCGTGGCAGCGGTGTCACACATCCGGAAGAGCGCCAACTCCGCTAGCGCTCGGACGGAGGCGAAGATACTGAACACCCCCAAGAACAGCGCAGTGAGGTCACCGCAGCCAGCAGCGGCGCTTTTTCTGAGGAGCCCCCATGCAGCCCTGCAGGGCCGGTAGTTGGTCGCAGCTCTGGGCCCCGCGGCACCCCATGCCAGCAAGCCCTCAGCTGCCTCGGCGAGGGGAAGCTTGTTCCACCCTCCCGCCATTCAGCAGAATGAGCGGCGCCCAAGCCGTTGCAGTAGCCAAGCGGGTCCCCCCCCCGCGCCAGCTGCCACAGTAGCGCCCCTGTGGCTCTCAGGAGGCTCGCGGGTTTGAGCCAAAATGGCTGCGGCGCGGATCCCCGTCCTTCTGATGCCCCGCTGGCATGGCTGGGGGATGGAAGGCGCCCCAGCCCACGCACGGAAACCAAACTTACAACCCCTATGGCGTGACTGGGGATGGAGGGCGCCCCAGCCCACGCAGAACTGCAACACTATTATAAGTCCTCTGGCGTGACCAGGGAAGGGAAATCCCCCAGCTCTCGTGCGGACGTAAGGCCTACCCTATTTACTGGCGTGGCTGGGGACTGGCATTGGTCCCAGCACACGCTCGTGCTCCTATCTTACTGCGTCTTTCTGGACATGTCTGGGGGACGTCTGTCGCCGCAGCCCCCGCGTGGAGATAGCCAGAGCCTAACGACCAGCCAACAGCCAAACAAAATTGTTGGACAATTTGCGTGACTCTAAAAACACGCAAATTTCAGGACCGGCCAGCCTCCGCACAAGAGGGTTGGAAAACTTGCATGATTCTAAAAACTTTTAGAGGCGCGCAAATTGAGGACCGCCACGCCGGACCCCTCTCGGGGTCCAGAAGCAAGAGTTTTTCGAGTAGAGCCCACCCGTGGCGACGAGGAGGGGCACCGAGGGCCAGAAAGCAAACGAAAACTAAACGCAAGCTTCGAGGTTCAAACCTCGACGTGAACCCTCTCGTTCAAAGGCGACTGAACCGCTCCAAGCTGTCTACCGGCCCCCTCCTGGAGCTGCCCCGACGCAGTCGGGGAAGAGGGAGGAGGAGGAAGGGGGGAAGACGGAGGAGGGAGGGAGGGAGGTGACGAGGCGGGGGAGAGCGAGGAGGCAAGATGTTGTCCTATCCCAACATATGCCAAAGGATGGCACTGCCTGCGTCGGGCTTCGTCCAAGCATGCAGGGCGGGCTCGCCCCCCCCATCCAGCTTCCTACGCCGGCCCACCTCCCTAACGACGAAACGGAGACATGATGCCCCGCGGCCTAGGACGAATACGGAAGACCGAAACAGAGCACCTAAGCCTAGCCCCCCCCCGAACAGGCACCCAGTGGTCCAGCGCCTGGGAGTTGGATTACTGTGCGGTGCTATAACGCGCGTAACCTACCTGGCTGGGGCGGCCCCCAGCGTTGCCCTACACGCTGAAGGTAGGGCGACCCCCCCCCCGCATAAAGGCGACCTTGGTTGGGCTGTTTTCCTCCTCGGAGCGCTAAAGGGCGGCAAGCGAGTGAAGCTGAATGACAACGCGTGAGACATGGCGTACTTTAATCAATGCACGCAAATTCAGGAACCCGAACGTACCTTCGCGGCTGCTCTGCCATGCCCACCGCCGGCGCGCCGGCCCATTCAGAGCCCACACTAGCCAGTGCTCTCCGCAGGGCTGCCTCCCGCAGCTTTTAAAAGACGGCGCACCTTGGATTGGAAGAAGGCTTCTTCCGATGCCTGAGTCGGCTCAGGCTCGCGCGGTGCCTCGTCTACCTCCTGTGCCAGAGCTTGCTTCGCCGCGCGGGGAGCCAACCGCTCCGACGAACAAGTAGGCTCTGGGATAGGAGGCGGGGCAACAGCTCCAGCAGCGGGCAGCGGGGCGGGCGCAGGCGCTGGTCGCCCACTTGAGCTGGCGGCATTAGGAGCGCTGGTCTCAGCAGTGCCCGAGGCGAATAAAAAGTCAGCAGCTTCGCTGTCGGCAAGAAGCGGATCAAATTCAGCACCAGTGATTCCAAGATTGCGACTGTGCTCAGCGGCAATGGCAGAGCTCGCAGCAGCAGGCGGAAGGGCGGCGGCGGGAGAGGAAGGGGAGGAAGAGGGGGCCTGGATCCAAGACGGGAAGGATCAACGCAGGGAGGGAGGCCCTCAGGAAGTGGGGAGAGGCCGATGTCCCGCTCCGCGCGGACGAGGATGGCAACGCCCCCGATCGCACGGTTGTCTGGGGAGCGAGCGGCTGGGTTAAATACAGCCTTCCAGCCCTTCTGCAAAGAGTGCTCAACGGCGAGCTGAATTAAATGGGGGTCATCCAGGAGGGTTTCCTGGAGAAGCAAAACTTTGTGTGCCGAGAGGGCCCCAGAGTCCAGGTGGCCCCGTATAGAGGTCCACGACTTGCCATTAAAAGTGGCCATGGAAACCGGCCCAACGCCCGAGGGCGGCAGATGCGCGGTCACTATGTCAGGTCGGCATGGACTGGCTGCGGGGGCCCCCCGCGGGTTACCCCAGCGTCGGGGCCGCGCCTGCACCCGCGCCCGCCTCTGGCTGGGGTGCGCTCGCAGCCTCAGCTGGGGCCCCCGCGCCACCCTCAGGGAGGCTTGTCTCGCCTGCCTCGCCTGCCTCTGGGGCTGCGCCCTGCTGGTCCTCTGGGGTTGCAGCCCCCGCCGCCTGGGCAGGGGCCTCTTGCCTTTCCTGGGGGCCAGCCTCCTCCAGGTGCCCCTGCAGGTCTTGGGGCGCCTCGTTCATGTTCGCAACCGCCCCCTTGATGCGTGACTCGGCCCCCGCTGGCACAGTCTCAACTGACTGGACTTGCGAGGCGGGAGCCTGTGCCCGCAGGTCGGCCGTCACTCGTTCGAGGAGCGCTTCCTCGGACAAGGGCGCGACTTCTTCCGGGTGAGCTTTGCAGCGCGCGAGGATCTGCTGCGAGGTCAGGGTGATGACGGGGGCGGCGATCGGCATGGAGGCCTCGACCACGTTGAGCTGAGCGATTTTCTCATTCAACCCGCCGACCCGGGTGTTGATGTCATCCGCCTGCTGGCAGTAGGAAGCGATCAGCTTGTCAATCTGCGTCTCCGTCTCTACGAGCGCCGCCTTTTTCTTGAGGGTGACGTCCTTTGACGAATTGATCTGCCTGCGCAGGCGCGCCGCCTGTTCTGCAGGTGGAAGGGGCTGGAAGCTCGACTGCCGCAGGTCTTCCAGCTCTTGCTTGGCCTGGAGGAGCTTGGGGTGGGTGTCGGGAACCTTGGCTTCCAGAATTCGACCTCCGCCTCCGCGAGCGCCAGAGGGCTTGATGGGCAGTGCCCCGGGGGCGGCTGCATCGGGGCGGCGCCGCCTCCCTTGCCGGCGGCAGGATCGAGGAAGGCCGGCGGCGCCCCACTGGGCTTGGCCTTGTCCTGCCCCTTGTCTTTCCCGCCTTTCCGCTGGCCACTTCCGAAGGACTGGCGGGCAGGCGCGCTCGGGTTGCCAAGGTAAGGTCCCCCTGTTACCGTGGCCCCTCTTGCGACGACCGAATTGGCGCGGCGCTTCACTCATGGGTTGGCCAAGGCAAGCCGTGCCAAGGTCGGCGAAACGGTAAGCCTGACCGTAGCGCTCGTCTGGGGCTGCAGGCCGCCCGTGCCAGCGCGGCGCCGGCTGGTGGGGCATCTCCCAGCACGGGCCGCATGTCGGGCCACGCGTCTGGGGCGGCGGCGGCCCGGGCAGGGGCGGCAGGACACCCGCCAGCGCGAGCGCTGTGCCGGCCGAGTGCGAGGGTGTCTCGGCGGTCCGCGCCCTGATCTCGCGAGGCGGCGAAGGCTCCCGCGGGGCAGGCCGCGCGCGAATGCCACAGAGGGGGCCGCGACTGCACCAGAGGGGCCCATGGCCGACGAGGTGCCCGACGCACCCTGCCTTCGGCCAAGGCCGGGCCTGGCCCCCTCCAGCTGGGCGGGCTGCCGAAGGGCGCGGAACCATCGGAGCCGCGGACGGGACTGGGGCGCCGTAGGCCGACATCGGGCGACGGCAAGGAAAGGCGGTGCAACCGGAGTAACACAGGAGAACTTGAGGCACCAAAGCTGCGGCGGTCGCAATAGCCGCCTTAGCAATCTGGACCCAGCCTAAATGGATCCCCCTAGCGTTGACAGGCCAGGCCGGGCATGCCGAAAGACCCCGCCCCGCGGTTGAAGGGCGAGCCTGCCCGAGGGGATCCGGCTACACCCCCAGAGCCGGGCAAGCCGGGGCAAAAAGTGACGAGCTTAAAAGGATATCCCCACCCCCTAAGCCCTGAAGCCTGCAAGGATGGAGGTGCGGCCCCTAGGATCCAACACCCTGACCGGGGTAACCTTAACCCCAAACGCCTTCGCCTTCCCTCAGGCGACTGGAAATTTGCGTGACTCTAAAAATCTTTAGAGTCACGCAAACTCAAGGGCCTTAGCCCGGGGCCCTAACAGAGTTCCCAATATCTTGCCTACCTAGTGCGGCGTGCTACCAGAACTCAAGGCTTATGTGTTGAGCCGGGCAAGCCGAAACAACGGACCACAGGCTAGATTGGCATGCGCAGCATAGCCGTAGCCCACAATCCTAGGAGAGTTCCAGTGCGGACGGCGCTAGTCTTACCTACCAAGTGCTGCTT